ACTGTACTGAAAAACTCAAAACTATTTCTGTCAAAGTAAAACAGTAGTTTAATGCCAGCCCAGCCAGCTAGGCCAGGGGGCATTTCTGCTGGGCTAGTTCAAAGGAGAGCTTCCCACCCTGGTGTGGGGCCAGGCTTACTGGTGTACGTCACCCACTGGGTCTCTTCCTTTCCTACTTCCAGTTCACAGGTCACAGTGGAGAATGATTTGTTCATGAATTGAGATGATCCACACATCTCTACCCATCCATCTCCCCAGTAACTTGACCCTAGACATTGTCATGACTCGCTGCAAAGGAGGCTGGAAGTATGGCCTCTTTCCAAGTCAGCCTAACTGTAGTTGGAAGAATAACAATGAGCCAAAGTGAAATATATAGAATGTTTGGTAACAGTACTGTCATGTAGGAAGAGAAAAAAGGGGGGAGGGTGAGTCCCTGGGGATTGCTAATGCAGTTTTAGTTCAGTGAACAGCATCACCCAGCAAATGACAGTTGAGGCCATGTGGGAAGAGTGCATGGTGATGACGGTTAGGGAAGATTTGGGAGACATAGTAGTCACTTTGCTCATTGATAAGTCCCAGTGCCTCACAAAATGCAGCTTAATGGAGGCACTGATTATTTGGATTCATGGCAGGGGATACAGTCCATCATGGTACAGGAGGTATGGCAGTAGGACCAGCTTCTGACAGTGACAGCAGGAGGCTGCTTGTTCACATCTCAGTGACTCAGGAAGAGAAAGGGATACTGCTGCTCAGCCGACTCTCTCCTTTACCCTTTTAAACCCCAGCACATGGGATATATTGCCCACAGTCAAGGTGGGTCTCCCTCAATCTTCTCTTCAGATACCCTCACAGGCAAACCCATGGTGTACCTCACTAATGCCCTAGATATTTCTTAATTTAGAAACAAGATGGCAGTCCAAATTAGCCATGGCATAAGAGAATGGATTTTCTTTTAGGAGAAATAGCCTTGGTTGCAATGAGGAGCCCATCTGGGATACCCATGGAGATGATGTGTGGGTCATATGAACCTGGGGCTCAGAAAAAGCAGCCCAGAAAAAAGCAGACAGCCATGGGGTTCAGTGAACTGCTTCATCTAGGTCTATAGTGTAAAGGCCAAGGTCATCTCCATGGGAAACAAACAGCCCACAGGATGGTCACATTCCCCTACAGCCCAAATGCCCAGTACCTGGCGGATTCCACATTCCTTGGGAAGAATCCAAGCCTCTCAGCTTAACAGGGGTTCAGGGTCTGCAGAATAAGCTACTCTCTGATCTACCCTAAAGGAAACATACTCAGGAAGGAGGAGGGTTTGTTAATGCCAGCATGCAAAGTGGAGGAATTCCTTTTATTTTTGACCCAAGTTCCCTCCTCTCCCAGCCAACCCTGTCTGAGTAAGGCCCTTTGTTTGGAAAGTTCTCTGGATTGAAGGAAGGACATTTTGTTTTTAAAGATCAAGTCTAAGGTAGCGGGATTGGTACAGGCAGGGCAGTGCAGAGAAAGGAGAGTGCTGGAGGCTGGGAAACCCAGGTGGATCCAGGTGTGGGCTTGGCTCTTCCAGCAGCTGGCTCTCCCTGTGGCCATCCCTCCTTCTCCTTTAGCCCTTTTCAGGCTCAGTCATCTGGCCAACACCTTCTCTTCCTTCCTAGGTGACACCCAGGCATTGTTTGGTGCCCCATTTCCCATTCTTAGAGGCTATTTTGCAGATTCCAAGGTCCTGATTGGCTAAGCTGCTTATGAGAAACCAGTTCCTGTGAGGAGTGGACTGCTTTGCCCAAGTCTTGGGATGGTGCTGCCCCTGGCTGTTTCTCTCAACAGAAGAGAGCAGGCCTTTGCATAAATAGACACAGGCTGCATCTCATCTAATTTTACCTATTAATGTGTCTAATTCCTCGTAGTCATTCATTGTGTTTGGTACTTTTAGGGTGAGACATGTTGCTGGGGGGGACAGAGCACATCTTTGACAGCTATTGATGGCCCCGCCAGGCTTTGGCTGGTTTATACTAGATCGGTTCTTTGAAGAATCCTTGGCCACATCTCAGCCACAGCTTAAGAGAATCCTTTCCTATGGTTAACGAACCCTCCTCCCTTCCTTTGACCTTTAAAATAAAAAGAATTGTAAGTAAACGAACTTGTTAGAGCAGGAACTTGTATGAAGGAGTTTGGGAGCTGTTCTGAGGACCAGTTGATACTGAGCACTGGCTTCCATGGCTTCTGTAGCCTCTAGACTGTCAAGTATGGCTGTGTAAAATGGGGGAAGCAGATAACGATAACATTCTTACAGAAGGAATGGTTTGCTGTGTCACCTTAGATATGTCCATACAAACTAGAATGGAGAGTGAGGTCCAGTGATTTGAATCACACAGGTGCCTCATCTCCCAACATGTCCAAGATGGACAGATACTGATGCTGTGTGTGTGTGTGCGCACGCGCATCGCATGTTTTTACCTGTAGATTCCATTGCCTGGGAAAATGGAGAAGTTGGTATTCCTGTGGTAAAGTGATGTCGCTGCCATCACAGTGGTGTAGTGCTTTGCCTTGAAATCTGTCTCTCACTGAGACCTCTATGTTTAGAGAAAATAAATCCTAAATTGAAAACTACTAACTCAAAAATAAAACCTTCATTTTAGGGACCTGTTTACCTATTTACAAATTAGAGACGGTTCATTTTATATTAAGGCAAGTGTGTTAACTGACACCCTTTGTAGCTTGGTTACTTGTTTGTTTGTTTGTTTTTGAGGCTTAGTCTCACCAGGAATTTCAGGCTGGCCTTAAACTTGATGTTTTCCTAACTTAGCCTCCCAAGTCCTGAGATGACAGTTCTGCACCGAAACACCCCACTTCTTTGGAAATGATTTTTAAAACCGATGTCACCAGGGACTAAAACGGGGGCTTAGTGGAAACAGAGCACTGGTTGCTTTTCCCGAGGAACTGGGTTCAATCCCCAGCAGTCACATGGTGACTCGTGACCATCTCCAGGGTACCCAACTCCCTCTTTGGCTTCCAAAGGGTGCTACATGTTCTTCGTGCACAGACATACATGCAGGTAAATGCCTACGTGCTCAAAATAGTAAGCTAAGGGCATGTATTTCCATTCCAGCCTATACTCTCATTCCATGCTAATTTGAGAAAAGAAGAATAGTGCCAGGCCACAGGGGCTCTTTAACCCAGACCTTTGGACTTCTGTATATGCCATACAGTACCAGTTGATGAGCTTAACTTAGTAGTTACCATCTAGAAACCACGTACACATCAGTCCCCTTCACAGAATATATCTGGCGTCGATGGTAGAATCTTGTCAGGATCCCACATGAGAGGCTGGCACAGTCCATGAAGTGCCAGGACCCAGGGCTGGGTCTCGGGTGGCATCATGTCCTGACTTCCTGTGTCTCCTGCCTCCCCGCATGGCCACAGTCACATGGGTATTCTTCAGGAAAGACATTAACCACCATTACTGCCTCAGAGGCCAAGGACACTCCTTTCCCCTGAAGTTGTCCCCCGAAGCAAACGAGCTCAGTCTGCTTTCAACTGCACACATTCCAATTCCAATTACATTTTAAAATATTGTACACCAACTGAAGGGGTTCCGAGAATGCCACTCCAGCTGACAGCCCTCTGGCTAATCACCCTGGTATGCTGGTTATTTCAGTTAAAGACATGGGGTTCGCTGTTGCAGAGGCACAGTCTATTTAACCTCTCCCCAGAGATTAAACTCATGCCCTATAGGGAGCCAAAAACGTCACTGCAGTGAGCTGACTTGGTCCCTAGGTGATCTTCTCTTGGTCATATGGTAGTCCCATGCAGTTCTCGGAGCAGCTCTCACACCATTGTCTGGCCTCTGGGTCCATTCTCTTCTGTCAGTGATCGTCTGCCCCTTTAAGAAAAGAAAAAGAAAATCTTATCCTCTTCTCTGTGTCCCTACAAAGATGGGCAGAAGCTGGATTTGGTAGTGTAAACCTGTAATCATTCAGTTGGGAGGCTGAGGGCAAGAGCAAGAGCGTGGAAGGTTCAAGGCCTGCCTGGGCAATTTTGTGTATTGAAATAAAAAGTAGAAGAAAGCCAAGGTTCTGGGGAGATGGCTGGGTGGTTACAGTGTTTCTGCACAAGCTTGGGGCTGGGGTTGGAACCAACCATGTAAAGCCCAGATGAGGGGTGGAGGATTTACTCACATGCATGCACACACACACACACACACACACACACACACACACACACGGTGGGGGGTTGGGGAGTGAGGAAGGACTGTGGCTATTCGGAGCTGGGATGAGATGTAGCTCCATCATTAGGACTGAAAAAGTTGGGCAGCTCTAGGCATATGAATCTCCTGAATTACTGGACCTCAGTTCCCTGTGCATGTAAATACATTTGTGTGGCCTTTTCTCCTCGTAATCCGTGTATTGTCAGCTCATGGCAGCAAACCTCCCACAGGTGGGCAGACAGAAGGAAAATGTCCATTCACTCCAATACTGTGGTGTGCCAAGCGCTGGGGCAGTCACTGACGCTATGGAGGTCAAGATGACCATCCAACTTTCTACTTCACTGGGCCAATGGCAGGTTTATGAACCAAACCATGAGGGTTATGTATCCCCAGTGTTGTGACGGCAGTGGGTGCTGTACTGGGACATTTGGGTGTGCAAGGTGCAGGTGTAACAAGAAAGAGGATGGGTATTGAACACCTTCAGACCTCTCAAGTTGTTTTCTCCACTTTTATTTTTCTCCCATGAAAGCAATTACTCATGATATCCACTAGCTTCAGTGTGTTATGTCCAGCCGGTAACCCACAGGCCGGGCATAGCCAAGAATAACAATGAATGAGGTCCAAAAAAAAAAAAAAAAAAAAAAAAAATCCATAAACTTGCTTTGTAACCAGATTACATGGTTCTGGAATGTAACTTGATGGGTGACAACACGGTGTCACAATGAGATAAGGGTAGATGTGCTGGAAGCATTTCGAGTCCAGTTTGGCAGAAGGTGTGCTGACTGCCCGTTCCTATCACTTTCAGGTACCAGCAAGGTGAACCTTGTGAAGATCTCGTCCACCGCCTCCAGCCCTCGGGACACGGCCCTGGCTGCCGTCATCTGCAGCGCTCTGGCTACTGTGCTGCTAGCCCTGCTCATCCTGTGTGTCATCTACTGCAAGAGGCAGTTCATGGAGAAGAAACCCAGCTGTAAGTCATCTCCCACCAACTTACCGTGAAGCGAGCTTGTTAGCATTGTCACACAAGGGTTCACAAGAGACCTAGCTGCGACAAGCAGGCCTCCGCAGGGATATCGGGGCCTGGTAGGGATGCTGACAAGGCTGTGATGTCCCAAGGCTACAAGGCAAAAATGAAAATTGGCTATACCCCCACATTCTTAACAGGGTAAACAGTGTGTGCCTCTGTATAAGGAGTAGGCAGTCCTCAACTTGCCATCATTCAGCCTAACAAGTTTTCGATGTTGTGATGGTCTCACAGCATACCCGTTAAGCCGGCGTGCTTCTCGATCTCAGCCCATTCACAGTAAATTATGTGGGCACTGTTATGAAGTGGGCTGGGCTGTAGCTTGGTGGTAGAGCTCTTGCCTATTGTGTGCAAGGCCCTGGGGTTTAATCCACAAGGCAGCTCACAAAGTGTAAGTCCAGCCCCAGGGCATCTGATGTCCTCACCTCCATGGGCACCAGGCACACATGTGGTTCACGGATATACATGTGAGCAAAATACCCTTACACATAAAACAGTAAGAAACATTTTTTTAGTGTGTATGTGTATGGGGGTGTATAATGACATAGGCTTTGTATTGGTTGACTTTGCCCACTGTAGGCTAGCAGAAGTTTATGGTCCAGGTTCTGTTTTTTTCTAGACTAAGCACTAATGTTTGGAAGAGTGGCGTATAGTGTCTTCATTTTACAGCGAGTGTCTTGGGGTAAGCAGGGATATGTAGAATAATGGTGTGGACTCATTAAAAATACCAATACTTACAGAGAAGTGTTGACCGTGGGCCTCTCCCTTCTCCTAGGGTCTCTGCGGTCACAGGACATTCAGTACAATGGCTCTGAGCTGTCATGTTTTGACCAGCCTCGGCTCCGCCACTGCGCCCACAGAGCATGCTGTCAGTGTCACCGGGACTCAGCCCAGACATACGGTGAGTTGGGTCATGAAGAGTGCAGAATGGGACTGCAAAATGGCATTGCCAAGTCCAGCTCTGGTTCTTCAGAGTGGGTGGCAGCGCGTCACAGGCTGATTGTCCAGTCATGGCTGATCCATGACTGTGGCCGCCCCCTCCCCCGTTGGTCTGGGTGTTCCAGTATTAAAAAAACAAACAGGAGTCTCCACAGATCCGGGGCCATGTTAGCAGTTCAGCCCACTTCATTTAGAGTCCCTTTCACCTGCTGTCTCTTCTGCCTGCCGTGTAGAGGTGGGGCTGACATCCTTGGGTTTTAATCAAGGTTTCTATGGTTGTGATGAAACACCATGACTGAAAACAGCTTTGGAGGAAAGGTTTCATTTGGCAGACATATCCAGGGCTTTAATCCATCAAGGGAAGCCAAGGCAGAAACTCAAACAGGGCAGAAACCTGGAGGCAGGAGCTGATGCAGAGGCTTGGATGGGTGCTGCTTACTGGCTTGCTCCCCACGGCTTGTTCAGCCTGCTTTATTATAGAGCACCCCCACACCCCAACACACAGCCCACCCCCACCCCATCACCCCCACCAGCCCAGGGATGGCTCCACCCACAATGGGCTGTGCCTCCCCTCCCCCATCAATCACTAATTAACAAAATGCCCTACAGGCTTGCCTACAGCCCCATCTTCTGGAGACATTTTCTCAAGTGAAACTCCCTCCTCTCATGACTCTAGCTTTCAAGTTGACATAAAACTACCCAGCACACCCTGATTACCTGGCCAATTCAAAACCAACACTAATAGGACTGGTTTCAGTGACTTCTGTGAGAAGGGAGAAGAGGGAGGTCCACACCAGGGTCCAGCCACACCTGCCTCTTGGTCTGTTGCTAGAAAATAGTCATTAAGGAGAGTTGACACAGATGGAAATGTGCCTCTGACCCAGCCAGGCAGAGGTGACATGACTTCCTCTACCTACAACTCGTTGACATTGACCGGAGGTTTCTACTGCATGTCCAATCCCAGGCCTCAGCAGGACATAAATCCCTCATGGCTAACAGTACTCCTGGCATCAGTCTAGCCCAGTAGCCCTCTCTATTGTCCCAAGTTGCTGGTTTGTCTGAGTATAATGCCTGCGATAGTACCAAAGCATCTCTTGGACACTATTATCTGCTTCTAGTTATTCATATTCTAGGCTGGTTGGACCGGCCTCTTGGTAATGTTGCAGAATGGACCATCTCAGTCCCATATGTCACTCACAGAATGAGAACGTCTCACCCTTATCCCCCTCCCTCCTTCCGGATAGGTCTCCATATACAGCCCAGGCTGCCTAAGTCCTCCAACTGCTTCAGTTGATAGCAATATGCAATTGTGTCTCTGTATTTGACATTTTATTCCTCCTTCTGCTAAACAAACACTCACCCAAAGGTGATCCACTGCTTTTCCAAGGCTTAGCTGGTATGAACAAGAAAGTTCTGGAGGAAAGCCCCGAGCCTCACGCTTTTCTGCCTTTCTCAGGGCCCGTTCACCTGATTCCATCCTTGTGTTGTGAGGAGGCCCCCAGCTCTGCCCGCACTGCCCTTGGCTGTGGGCTGCATACTACGGCTACCCTTCAGGAGAGGTAACTGCTCTTCTAGTCAACAATGTCATACTCCCGTTTGCAACCGTGTATTCTCCCAATGTGGCAGCTTTGTGTTCAACTGTAGAGATCTGCCTCTAGATTATCAACAACTTCCCAGAACCTGGGAGAGACCCCCCCTCAGGGATTGCAGGGCCTGGGGTTGCTGATGACCAGACCAGTACTGTCTTCTGGCACTCCCCGCCCACTTCATTTGTGTCTTATGTTCATGACATGTCTCTATTTTCATGAGATTTTATTTTAAAGCGTGTGTGTGTGTGTGTGTGTGTGTGTGTGTGTGTGTAAGTATGTACATACAGTACAGGTGCCCTCAGAGGCCAACAGCATCGCATCCCCCTGGAGCTGAAGTTCCAGGTGGCTGGGAGTCTCCCCATGTGGGTGCTGAGAACTGAGCCCAGGTCCTCAGAAAGAGTGTGCACATGTGCTTAGCTGCTGAGTCGTCTCTCCAGCCTCTATTCCTGACATTTCTATGATGTCAAAGTAATGTCTCACTTGTCACACTCTGCTGGCATACTGTTCTAGAGCAACAATCAATAAAATTCAGTTGAGAACTAAGAAAATGCAGGCGTTAGACATTGGATACATTTATACTAATATGTATCCATATTAGTATGTAATATGTATAAAATATGTATAAAAAGCACTTTTAAGGTCAATGGAGTCGGGGTAGTTGTCACACTGAGGCAAGTTTAAAGTAATAGCACTGGAATTCTCACTATGTTGGCATTGCAGCCGTAGAGTTAAAATTATAACTGAAATGCTATTCTGTCCTGCACAATACTTACAAACCTGCCGGATGTGTGTTCAGAAATACAGCTTCAGTGGGAGACGCCATGCCAACTTTCTTTGGGTCTGCCTCCCGGTCCATCTGCGGTGAGTTTTCTGATGGCTGGCCTCTGATGCGGAGTCCTGTGGGCGGCGACATCTCTCTTTGTGACTCATATCCTGAACTCATCGGAGAAGATATCAACTCCCTCAATCCAGAAAACGAAAGCTCAGAATCTCTGGATTCCAGTGGTGGTCAGGATCTGGCTGGGACAGCTGCTCCAGATTCTTCTGGAAATTTCACAGAAGCTACTGACTCACCTAGATATGGTGATACAGTCTGGGAGCAGACCCTAGCTCAGGGTGCCCAGAGGACTCCAAGCCAAGGAGGTTGGGAAGGCAGTGGCAACTTGAACCTAGCCATGTCTATGTCCTTCCAGGTAAGACAGTAATGGGTGTCAGAGTGGGCCTGTGCTACCCGGAGGGGTCCAAAATCTGTTCCCACTGTGAAATCTGGGGAGGAGGACGAGGGATAGCTGTATTTAGTTTTTTCTCACACATTACAGAAGACTGTTTTAAAGAAACCTCGTTTTTTCCCTAACGAGCAGAACCATGTTATGAGAGCACAAAGAGCACTCATACTCTTAACTTGTCTTCTTAAACCTGACCGCTGTGTGTGGGATGCTGTGTGTGGGATGCTTCCTGACAAAGAGGTGTAGTGATGGATGGCCATCGGCCCCCATCTTCGTTGTTGTCTCTGGCTCCTCTTTCCCTCCTGTGCACAGAGCCACTGTCACCTTCTTGATTACATTGACTCATTGGTCAGTCTGGTTAGAAACAGACTGGTAGTGGTGGCCTGGGACCGAGTGCATGGAAAGATCTCCGTGCACAGATGGTTCAAGTCAGGCTTGGGTGTGGTCAGGAGCAGAGGAGAGTAGATGTGAGGGCTTCCTGAAGCCACAAAGCAGGAAAGGTCTCATGAGATCTGATCTTATCTCTGCATCATCCTCTGGGTGAGGGTGTAACCTGAGCTAACTTTGCCTTCATGCTTCCCAACATGTCCTTAAAAGACAGTGTGATCTCTCTGTAGCCAGGAGTGGTGGCTTACTGGTTTTATTTTGAGCCATCCTATAATTTGTACAATTTTTTTAAGTCAATAAAACCAAACAAAAAAATTGATCTCACCATCTTGCTACTATGAACCAAAGCATCTAGATGATTCTGTTTGTTCCTTAAGTTCATTTCTTGTTGACTTGATTCCATAGCATGGGCTCATTTGGAATTCAGAGGAATCTTACTTTCTGCGAAGCAACCCCAGTCTTACAGCACTGTGGTCTTTAGCCAGTGGGAGGCTGTGATTTCCAGAGCACTATGAATGTGTTTCCTGAACGAATATCTTTACATACTAGTGTTCTTATGGGGGCTTTAAGACCACCCAGGGTCTGATGATGCTGGTCCCCCTTCAGGATGAATATTTAGGTGTGAGAGCCACCTTTAGCTCCATGTGTGCATCTCCCTGTTCACACCTGTGCAGAAGGGAGCAGATCTGAGAGATGTATGGTGGCTGTTGTTGAGATTTGAGACAAGGAAGCTAACCTGTTTCCTTACAGAAAAGCTTTCTTGATGGTTTTGCAGTTTTATCCGGACAATTTGCAGGAATCCCTACGGGCTCTGCGGATTGAACTCCAAGCATGGCAAGTGCTTTACCCATGAGCTATATGGTATTATCTTTTAATATCAGGTACAGGTGCTTGCTGCAGAGCCTGATGACCCGAGTTTGGTCCTTGGAATCTCCTTGGCAGAAGGAGCGACCTGACACCTGCCAATTGTTCTCTGACCTTGACTGGCAACAATGGCACAAGCATTCCCCCCCCCCAAAACACACACACTCAAAACAATAAACAACAAAAAACTCAACAGGAAGGAACAGAAGGTTAGAGAAGCTCTGAGAGGACCGCTCAGTTTTACAGTCTATCTCTCTCTTCTGAATATGATAAAATGAGAATGGCTTGCTTCCTGCAGTGGAGTCAATATATTTGTTGCTATGGCATCAGTTGGTCAACATATTTGGTAGGGATGTTTCCCGGTATTCAAACAGACTTCAGACCCTCTGGTTTCTAGATAAGCTTTTTACCTAGAAATGTTTTCCTTATGTTTACCTATGTTACCAATGCAAATCAGTGATGAACACATTACCAAGGGACAGTGCATGAAAGCAAGGTTTTTGCCCCTTCTGGCAGCATTCAGCTGGCAGATGCCTGGTCCCTTTTTGAAGGGAGGCCACACTTTCTGTGATACAATCCCATGTTGAGGGTTATCATCATAAGAAGACTGTGTCTATTCCAGGGAGACCATTAAGAGCCATCCTAGTCCCCCTGTCTTTGCAAACATCTGCCAAGAATGGAAGTCTGAGGTTCTGTGACTGAGGTGACAAGATAGGGTGGCAGTGTTCACAGGCCACCCTCATTTCTGGAGGCCACGAATGACTTATCTACAAATGTTTTAGGAAGCTGCACATTGAAGCGGTGCCTTCAAATGTTTGGATGAGGTTGATGAACAAAGAAATGGTTTTTAAGTCATTGTGATTATTATGGATTACAGTGTCATCTTTCAAGTACTCAGTACATATTGGTCATCGCGTTGTTACAAAACTGTCGTTACTTTCTCGGAAGACACAGTAATGGATGCTTGAGTATGTGACACTACTCTGCACAATCAGTTTTAGAATGACTACACAGCAGCTTTAACGTAGAAGATGCCATTTTTCAAGCCCTTTCTCTGTTGTTGTTTTAGGATGCCTGAAGGCCATCTTCCTGAAGTGGAGGTGTGGCTGTGGACACGCCTTTGTTGAGGCTTACAGACTGAGCAGTCTTGATCTTCTGTGGCTTCTGGAAGCAATAATAAATCTGAACCAAGCTGGCAGCATTTCCAGCCTTTCAACCAGTTGCTTCTGAGCCAGACCAGCTGTAAGCTGAAACTCCAGCGAGAAGCAAGGAGAGACTCTGTAGGCGGCCTCAAGACCCGCACTTCTCCCCCAAACAAGAACTTTAGCTGAGAGCAATTTGAAGGACTGATAGGTGGAATGTGCTGCCTGCAAAACTGTGGGCATGGCAGGATCCAGCCTGGCTCCTCCTTACGTTCATGGTGAATGTGGTTTCACAAGACCCAGAGTATAAACTTTCCTAGACATTCTCTTTCCAAAACAACCCATTACCCTACAGAAAAGCTGTGGCAGATTCCTTTCTTAGATTTTAGGTAGAGCTCTGGGGATTTCTATTGAGAAAAAGTGACTTTCTCATCAGCAGAGTGGTATGCATCAGTAGTTTGAAGGGACTTTGTAGCCCTGCCTAAATCGTGGTTTGGTGAGGTTGATTGCCCTGTTATGAGAGCTCTTTTGGCCTCCTCCCCCTCCCCCCGGATGTGTGACAGAGCTGACAGGAGAGGAGGCCTGGGTTATGGAATATGGCTGTGAATGTGGATAGAAATATATTCAAACCACCTACTATGCATATCCTGAAGCCTGGTTGGCCTGGTGACTGTGGAAACATGTTAGGTCTGCCTCTGTGCTGAGCTTACAGGGCCCAGATTTCTCATATAGTAATCTGTGGTCTGCACCTGAGCTTATCTGAAAAGCTTCAGCACATCCAGTGTGCTACTGAAGGGCCCTTCTTGGGAATCCAGTGTGTATTGGAACCAGATGTGGAGAAGTGTGGTTGGCAGATAGTTTGGGAGAACAGGCTCCCCGGTGCCATGTATCTAACCGAGGCTTTGTAATACTCATGCTAACCCATCTTCTTCCATGGGTTAGCATGGAACTCCCAGAACAGTTTTTAAAGCTAAGCAAGAACTAGGACTAGTTTTTCTCTTCATCTTTTACCCTATGGCTTCGTTGAGCAGGTTTTATTTTGGTCTCCAGTTTGAACTTACGTCATCAGATTTGGCCTCTGCCTTTCAACCCTAGTCTGTTGCTCTATTATTTTTACACTTTAAAAAGCTAGATCTCTGAGCATCAGGGTGGTAGAGTTCACCAAATCTGTTTTGAAGGTGCCCTGTTTAAATCAGGCTCTTTTACCCAACACTGAAACCAAACATTGAGATGCTATCTTCCTCGATTCTTTTATCTTCTGTCCTCTCCCCCTCCCCCGCCCGCCATGATTTTCTCTCCTTGTAAGACATGAGTAGAATTTAATGAGCCCTCTTCCTGTGACCTCTCTCTATTCATTATTGCAGCTTTTGATGTGTGGCTTGTCCATATCCATTGCTTACCATAACATCTGTTCTTTACCAGATGTAAGAACACTACCATAGAGTGTTCCACGGTAGTTCATATCTGCTTTCATGTCCATGTGGTGCCCAGTCATAACCTATTGGCATTTTGTTTGTGTGTCCCCAACCCTTATGAGGATTTGGCTTTAAGACAGTCACAGATATTTAGGATTTAACCAGCAGACTTCCATGAGGATGCAAGCTGAGCCCACCCCCCCATAGCCTCCTCATAATGAACATGTGTGTGCCATTGTTTGCAACCTAATCATCTGTGTTATGACAGAGGGATGATCAAAGCCAGCAGGGTTGTGTTCCTTTGTGTAACCTGAATATATTTTCCACGTGCCAAGCCCTGATGGACTTCAAAGAAAGACACCCGATTGGAAGCAAGCCTTTGGCCCTGAATCCCAAAAACTCACTTTCAATCAGAAGAGAAATGCTGAGGGTTAAAAATGGATTTCATCTGATACTGCACTTGGGAGATCCTAGATTATCATCAGAAAGGCGACTTCTCCCACTGGCCGCTCTAGAAACATGCAACAGTGTTTTACATTTTATACTCTAAACAAGAGGGGAAAACTGCAACCTGCACTCTTGTTACTGGAACATCTTACAAGGCTGATTACATGGGAGCTGGGATGCTGATGTCAAGACGCTGATATGAAGAGGCATCTAGGCATAGACGGCACCAGCACCATCTTTCACATGGCAGAAGGAAGGACAAGTTGGAGATGAGGATTTTTGAATCAGTCAGGGCAAGCCATGTGTTTTCTATTTTGAATATATGGAATATATTTTGAATTGTGGGGTTTTCTACTTTAAAGATTTACTGCTGCTGTTACTTAGGATAAGCACTGCTGTCTGTGTCAGAAGAAAAGGAACAGAAAATGAAAAAAGAAACAATCATTGCTTTTTAAGATAGTTTGTACCAGCTTAGATATCATCATGACTGTTTTACAAACTGGAATTTATAAATTGTAAATTATCACTTTCCAATACAAACCTTTTTTAATGCTTTTTAAAAATTGTGAATAAAATTGATACTTATTATTCTTAGTTACATGTCAAGTCAAAATCATTTTGTGGTTGTGGTTATATTATGCTTGCTTCAAAAATTCACCTGAGTGTCATAAATCATGTAGAGTGACATGCAAGTCACAGAGAGGATGCACAGAGCCATTGCGGAGGACACACAGTCATTGTGAGGGTAAAAAGAGTCTCTTGGATTCATATGAAATAATTGCAAAGGCATAGCAGTCTTTGTAAATGTACACAAAGTTATTGTGAAGGTCACAGAAAGCCATTATGAGCATGAAAGGAGTCATTGTAAAGAGCATACACTGCCATTTGTGAGGGCACTAAAGTAATTACAAGATCACAGGAAGTCATTGTGAAGATCAAGCAGATTCATGCTGTAAGGCACACAGTCCTGAGGACACATAGTCACAGAAAGTCATTTTGAAGATCAAGCAGTCACGTTGGAAGGTACACAGTCACTGTGAAGGCACAGAACGTCATCATGAAGTACAGTTACTATGAGGCATACAAAGTCATCTGGAGGGAACACAAAGGATTGTGAGGGCATACAAAGTCATTGAGAGGCCACACAAAGTCATCCTGAAAGCCACACAATTATGAAGATACATAAAGTTATTGTAAAAGTGACTGTAATTGTGAGGGCACAGAATCATAACTATTCATAATGAAATCCAAATAGTAATTGAGTACCAAGTCATTGTGACATCACATATAGTCATTGTAAGGGCTCAAAAGTCATTGAGAAGATATACAATGTCATTGTGAAGGTCACACATTAAAGGGTATACAGAATAATTGTGATGGTCACATGGGTTATGACAGTACACAAAGTCATTTGTGAGGACATATAAGTGATTTTGAGCTCTCAAGGTCATTGTTTAGGTCATACAGAGTCATTGTGAGGACACCCAAAGTCATTGTGAAGATGCACAAAGTCATTGCTTGAATCACACAGAGTCATTGTCAAGGTCATATAGAGACATTGTGATAGTTACACAGTCATTGTGAAAGTCAGATATAATGATTGTGAGGGCATATGAACTCATTATAAGAGCACGCAAGGTCATTGTGAGGTCACACAAGTCACAGAAGCCAGAGTCCTTTTCAGAGTCACAGTCAAATTTTATTGTGAGGATATAATGTCATGATGAAGATCACAGAGATTCATTTGAAGACACAAATCATTGTGAAGTCACAAAAACTTATTGTGAATGTCATACGTAGTCATTGTGAATATCATGCATTGTTATTGTAGTGGTGAGCAAAGCCATTGTAAGATAACACAGTGTCTTTGAGAAAGAACACAATGTAATTTTGTGAATCATACAGAGTCACTGTAAGGGCACACACACTCATTGTGAAGTCACACATAGTCATTGTAAGGGTACATAAAATCATTGTGAGCATCACACTAAGTCACTGTGCATCTCACACAAAGTCATTGTTAAGGTCATACAGAATGTATGTGTATTACACAAAGAATTCTGATGACATAGCTCATTGTGTGTCGTAAAGGTCACAGAGACTTGTATTATTTATGAAACTGTTGGCTGTCTTCCCTTCTGATGCAGTTGTGTAACCAGGAACAGTTGTGCCTCACTGTTAAGCAAAACCCTACACCATTGTAAATGCCATATTCTATAGGTCTTAGAAAAGTTTGAAGAATGACTATCCAATTGAAACTTCTCTCTATATATCTAGAAACCCTAACTATAGTTTTGACTATCATGGGTAACTTCTATAATCTGTACTTAATTATACATTTTAAATGAGCTATACAAACACAATACCTAAACAAGAGAAATATATATATCACAAAATTAACCTTAAATTTGTATCAATAAATGAAAATCTATTCCAATACAAAGTATTCATTTCTATACCATAATCCCCCTTTCACCTCTAAAAAGAGATTTGTTGTGATCATTAACCATTTATAACCAACCCCATTTAAGTAAAAACAAACATTTATAAAAAATATTTGGGAATGTGGGCATCATCTTCTCCAAATTGCTTCCTACTGGTTGGGGATGCTGTTTATACCATGGGGATCATGACAAAACACAGAAACCTGGCCAAGTCCTTGTTTTTGTAGTCTGTAAGGCTGCATCATCTCAGCTATTTTAGATGCTGGATCACCTGGAATGCTGTTTCAGGGGGCTCTGGCTTTATTAAACTATATTAGTCTGGAAGGAATCCACAGCTTTTCATTTTCTGTAGAAACAAAAGTAGAAATTCTTTTCCCAAGTAACCTGTCCTTAGACTTAAATTTTGAAGTCAATGCATTTTCAAAATATATAAGTTGGATTAATTTAGCAGCATTTTTAATCAAATGTATTTTAGCAGCTGTAACTCTTTCCTTGGCAATCAAGCAATTTAAAGGCAACACAATAGCATACAGTATCCAGACTCTCTGTGTATTTTCTATTTTTACGTGACTTTTTTAATTACTCTATTTCTTTTCCTTTTATGTTTTTACATTATCTGAGACAGGGTTTCTCTGTGAACTTTTGCCTCTCCTGAAATTCACTCTGTACACCAGGCTTGCTTTGAAATCACAGAGATCTGCCTGCCTCTGCCTCTGCTTCCTGAGTGCTGGGATTTAAGGCATGTACCACCACTGCCCAGTCACGCTATTTCTTTTTTAACCAAATACTGTTTTTATTTTCTCTCCCAAGCCTATGTATATTTTTCTTTATTGTAAATCTTTATCTTTTTCTAACCACATGAATCTTATCTGCTAGCTAACAGCCTGGCCACTTATGCAAATTAGGGAGCTGCTCTTAAAGGAGTTGCAAGCATCTGCTTACTGTCTTACTGTTCATTTGCTGATATGTTATAGTTTTTGAATTTGTGTTTTTAATGGGCTTTGTTTTTTTTTTTTTTTTTTTTTTGTGAATGTGTATCTGAATGATATTTCTTGTGGGGTTTCTTTTTCTCTTGTTTGTTTTCTAAATAGAGAAAAAGAAAGGATGTAGAGGTGTGTGTGTGTGTGTAGGTTAGAAAGATCTGGGAAGCACTGGTCGAGGAAACCATGATCAATATATATTGTATAACTAGGTGTGGTGGGTGTGCACTAGGGATACAGAGGCAAGCAGATCTTTGAGTTCAAGGACAGCCTTGGTCTACAGAGCTAGTTCTAGAACAACTATGGCTATATAGGGAAACCATGTCTAAAAAAAAAAAAAAAAAAAAAAAAAAAAAAAGGAAGAAAAAGAAAAAAGACAAAAGAAACAGGAAGAGAGAAAGAAAAAAAGAATATATATGAAAAAATTTTCAATAAAAATTTATTTTAAAATATGAAGTAATCATTGTGGGGATCACATATATTGTGAAGGGCACTCAAAGCTATTGTGAAGACACAGACAATTATTTGGGGACTCAGAAGTAACTGTGTAATAGTCAGTGTGAAGGACATAAACATTCATTGGGAGAACTCACAAAAGTCATTTGAAGGACACAACGAGTCATTGTGAAGGGCACAGAAAGTCATTGAAGGCACACAGTCATGGTGAGAGGACACAAGTCATTGTAAGGGTCACAAGGAATCATCGTGAAGGTCATACAGGGTCATCATGAGGGCATGTGGAGGTTACAATGAGGCTTTGTGAGGGCACGAAAAGTCACTGAAGTGCACACAACATCATTTGGGGGGACACACAAAATCATTGTGAGGAGCAAATGTAGGCATTGTGAGTGTCACGCAGCCATTACAAGGGCACACAAAGTCACTGTGAGGGTATACAGTGTCTCCGGGAAGAGCAAAGTGCATCATTATCACGCAGGTCACACAGAGTTACAGTCGTAATCATGAAATGCACATAGATTCATTCTGAGGACATGTTGTCAACATCATATAGCCATTTGAAGGTCACACAGGGCCACTGAGAATATCATATGGGTCATTGTGAAGAATATATCAAACCATTGTGAGGTCACATAAAATCACGGACACAGAGATCATTGGGAATAACACATAATTATTTTGAGGGAAATATCTCACTGTGAGGGTCACACAGAGTCATTGTGAGGACACGCAATGTCGTGGTGAGGGTCATACAGTGTCAGAGTGAAGGTCACACATAGTCATTGTGACAGCACATAAAATTATAGTGTCATTGTGAATATGACACGTAATCATTGTAAGGACACTCAAAGCAATTGTAAAGGTCACACTGAGTCTTTCTGAGGGCTCACAGAGTTAGTTTAATGACACACAATATGATGAGTGTAAGGATTCAGGCATTATGTTGGCCTGCCCCTGTCACCTGGCAGAATGCACTCAGGCGGTATCCTGGTCAGCCCAGAGTTCCATGAGTACAAAGGACCCCTTTAAAAGAAAGACCCCGCCCACTTGCGCTCTCTTTCTGCTCCTTGCTCTCTTTCCGGCTCTTTCTCGCCACTCTCTTCTCTTTCTGCTCTCTTCCTACTCTCCCCTCTGTCTCTTTCCCGCTGTTCCTCTGGGGCAGACTGGACTTTTCTTGTCTCCCTCTTCTCTTCTGTCCTGTCTCTGTGTCTCTTTAACCTCTTTTCTCTTTCCTTCCCCCGCCCCTCCCCCTTTCTAATAAAACTCACTTAAACTCTGTCTGCCTCATGTGTTTGCTCCTCCACCTAGGTCACCGTCGCCTGCCATGGAATCTGCCATGGTCCCCCCACGCAAAGTCCCCCTCGAACTTTATGCTAACAATGAGTACATACAAAGACATTATAAAGGACACATGGAGCCATTGCGACAGCACACAGAGTATGGGTACACGTTGCTATTGTGAGGGCACAGTATTCATTTTGACTGCACAAAAAGCTGTTGTGAAACACATATAGCATCACTATGAAGGGTAGTAAGGGTCATTGTGAAGGACCCACAAAGTCATTGTGAGGATCAAATGGGGCCATTGTGATGGTAACACAGAGTCATTGTGAAGGTCAGGCAAAGTAGATGGGAGGGCATACAGCCTCATTGTGAGGACACACAAATCATTATGAGGACACAAAACGCCATTGTGAGAAAAGACATTTAT